ACAAAAAGAAATGACATATGATTGTGTTTGGTGTTGAAATGCACATATGTACAGCAGAGGAGATGGGGAAAGGAGAAAGGTACACATCAAAAGAGGTCCTGCTGCATTTTGTATCCTAAGATTTTTGGTACAATTGTAGATTGTCATTTTACATTTTTCACGTGTTTGTAGATGGTGGAACTGCAGGAAAACCCTGGTGACCGAGAGATCCTTAAAGATTATAATTCTGTGAGATCACTAAGTCACCGCTCTCGAAGACAACTTGTCGACCTTCTCGTCAGTGACATGAGTGAAACACATGGGTATGTTGTATCCCTCAGTTAATACTCAAAAGTTCCTTCTTACAAGTGGAAGGATATTTACTCAAAATAAAATGAAAATCACTTGAAAGACCTTTCACAATAATCACATAACAATTCAGTTTCTCTCAGCACTGTTATTGATTCCCCATTGTAAGATAAATAGTACTGATCTCTTTTATAAATGACCTAGGTAGATGTTCTCCTGTAGATTATCTCTTGGTTAGGTCCCTGTGAAAATATGTACTTGTAGATACTATTAATTTAGCCTTTTTATGTAACCATGAAGTCCTTTGACCATGAGTGTTTTTTTCTCCTTAGACAAATGCCTTCCCGAAAACAAAAAAAGCTATGCTCTTAGAATTATCACACTTTTTTCATTGAAGGATCCATTTTCTCAAAAAGGTTATGTAAGTATTGTTAATGTATCCATGGAAATTGAATTTGGTTTACCTACACGTTTTGTGTCGGTAATGGATATGTATAGATAACAATTATAACTGTACACTTTGTTTTCAGACTAATCTCGCCTCGTAATGAGACGGTGACCTCCTATTTGCTTAACACAATATCTGCAATACAATGTGAACAATAAGTCCACATTTCCACGATGTTGATAAAGACGACATTGTGTGTAAGTGTTTTACTGTTTCTCCCTTTAACCTGGTTTTAAACATTGTCAGAGAGGAGCTTTAGCTGTGCTACAACTGAGGTATTTTATATTTATCTTTGTTAATGTACTGTGATTATTTATTTTAATGCTTTCTTATTTTGCTCAGCACTTCGAGTTGCATTGTGTATGAATTGTGCTAGACAAATAAACTTGCCTTGCCATCGTACTTCCTGGTTCTGGTCAGGACTTGAGCTGCTGCATTTTGAATGTACTGCAGCTGTTGTGGCACAGTAGTCTAACCTACTGGAGACTAATGCATGGATAAGAATCTCCAGGTCTGCTTTAGACACTATGTTTAGATGGGGAAAAAGGATTTGATTTGGCTAATAATATTTACTGATTCTTTCAGCCGCTGGAATCGAGACCGAGTGTGCTAGAAAGTGACAAAGTGGAACTCTGGAAGTCCGCCACGGTAGACCTAATGTCCAATGAAGAAGAAGGCGTTGTGGACGGTGTCTCTGGATGGATTGTGCGGTCGCCGTCTTTTCGAAAGCCGGAGTTTTCTGAACTCTGTCAAGCTGCAGTACCGGTTAGAGGCGGTGCGGAAGTACAGAGCCACGCACATTAAGCGTCTATCTAGAACCCTGCCAAATTACAACCCCGAGGAGGCTATTTGGACAGTTCAGAGTTGTAATTTTTTAATTACCTATGTGTGAGCATAAAGCGTGTGTGTGTGTGTGTGTTTTAATAAAGCTTTCTTTGTATGAACATATTCCTGGAAAATTTTCATTTCTTCTATAAATAATACGAATATTTATATAAATATTATTACATTAATTATGAGGCAGGGTGACCAATAGTGACAGATCTGCCAGCCAATCACGAGAGATTATACTTATTTGAAAGTAGTGATTTCATCCAATGGGGAGTAAGCTACCAATGGGGAGTAATCCCACGTGGGCTGGCCACGTGTGATTTTTCAGCCAATCACGAGTTTGAAAGTAGTGGTATTCACCAATGCTGAATAGCAGCCTGGCCAGCCGCTGCATTCATATGCTAATTAGGGCCATTAGCGCTCCGCCGGTCGCAGTGTTTCGCTGCATTCATATGCAAAGTAGGGACATTAGCATGGTACGGATACGGCAGTTTGGAGGACAGGGCACCCTAACTGCGCCTTCTGAAAACTGCCTGAGATACCCGAAAAAGAGCGTGATTTCCTGCAGTTTAGGGTGACGAAAATCTAACTTTTCATGCAGTGTCTGTCGGATCATTTCTGTGTATTTTTTAACATGTATTTTGCTACCAGACCACCCGCTAAATATGAAATTGTTAGAAGTAGACACTTAAATGAAAACACGGGTGAACTATTTATGGGAATGATCCATTTTGAGAACACATCATGTTCTACTGTAGATGAACTGTTTAACTCTGTCACCTCTAGTGTGTTGAATGTTCTGGACGCCATTGCCCCTGTGAAGGTAAAAATGGTCACAAATAAGCAAAAAGCCCCATGGATAAAAGCAGGCCCGGTCAGGGCACAGAAGCAAGAGTGCCGGAGAGCAGAGAGAAAGTGGAGAAAGTCCAACCTCCAGGGTGATTATAAACTCTTAAAAGAGAAGTTGTGTGAGTTTAACAGAGTACTACGTAGAACAAGAGAATTATACTTTTCTGAAACTATTGAAGGCTGCAGCAACAATCTGCGTGTTCTATTTTCAACAATCAATAGATTAACGAACCCCCCTGTTGAGTTGCCATTAGAACACTACTCCAAATCCAGGTGTAATGAGTTTGCACAGTTCTTCAGAGACAAGGTTCAGGGTATCAGAAATACCATCACCTCCACAACACAAGTAACAATGCAACATCCAGTGAGGCTTTGTGAGCTAGCTCAATTTGCACCTGTCAATGATGAAACTGTTAAAAAGATAATCACAGGTCTTAGTTCCTCTACCTGCAGTCTGGATGTACTACCTCCTAGATTCCTGAAGTCTGTTATGTGTAGTCTATTACCCTCATTGACACAAATAGTAAACATGTCTTTTTTATCTGGAACATTTCCAATGGCCCTGAAAAAGGCAGTCATCAGGCCCCTCCTAAAAAAGAGCAGTTTGGATGCTGCGGTACTTGAAAATTACCGTCCCATCTCAAATCTGCCATTCATGGGAAAAATTCTTGAAAAAGTTGCCTACCAACAACTTACTGAATTTTTAATATCTAATGACTCATTTGACATGTTTCAGTCTGGCTTTAGACCACACCACAGTACTGAGACCGCTCTAGTCAAGGTAACAAATGATATTCGGCTTAACACTGATGCAGGAAAAGTCTCTGTTTTAGTCATGTTAGATCTGAGTGCCGCTTTCGACACCGTTGACCATGAGATTCTCATGCAGAGACTGGAGGACTGGGTTGGTGTTGCTGGTACCGCCCTAAGCTGGTTTAGGTCCTATCTAGAAGAAAGGAAGTATTGTGTGGAGATTGGAGACTATGTCTCAGATAATATGGCCCTGACCTGCGGAGTGCCACAGGGGTCGATTCTGGGACCTCTTCTGTTCAATATTTACATGCTGCCATTAGGTCAGTTAATTCAAAGTATGAAAGTGTCCTACCACAATTACGCTGATGACACTCAGATCTATGTCTCACTGACTGCAGGAGAACATGGACCAGTGGACTCACTCCTTCACTGTATCCAGCGGATCAGTGAGTGGATGCAATGCAATTTTCTCCAGCTAAATGCGGACAAAACCGAAATGATTGTCTTTGGTCCCGAGAAACAAAGAGAGACCGTCATTTGTCACCTTCAGTCTCTCTCCCTAAGGCCTTTAAATAAGGTCAGAAATCTGGGAGTAATAATGGACTCTGACTTAAACTTCAATAGCCACATTGGATCGGTAACATCAGCAGCTTTTTATCATCTGAAAAATATTGCCAAAATTAAAAATATTGTGTCCAGGGCAGACTTGGAGATTCTTATCCATTCTTTTGTTTCCAGTAGGCTGGATTACTGCAATGGCCTGCTCACAGGTATCTCCAAACATGCAGTAAAACAGCTGCAGTATATTCAAAATGCTGCAGCCCGAGTCCTGACTAGAACCAGGAAGTACGACCACATTAGTCCGGTCCTCAGGTCTCTGCACTGGCTTCCCGTGGCCCAGAGGATAGACTTTAAAGCAGCTCTCCTGGTGTACAAGTCTCTCCATGGCCTTGCACCAAAGTACATCCATGATATGCTAGTCCCATATGAACCAGCCCGGACTCTGAGGAGCGCAGGGACGGGACTCCTGTTAGTGCCCAGAGTCAGGACTAGACAGGGGGAGGCTGCTTTTCAGATTTATGCAGCTGGAGTCTGGAACGGTCTTCCTGAGGATGTGAGACTGGCTGCCTCTCTGTCAATGTTCAAATCCATGTTAAAGACTTTTCTTTTTTCCTGTGCATACAACTAGAGAATTTTATCTTTTTAACACACCTTGTTATTTATTGTTGTAACTTTTTGTGTTTTTTACTATTTTATTGTTTTTAATTACTTGTGTGATTCTTATGTTTTTAAATTACTTATGTGATTTTAATGCTTTTTAATTACATATGTGTTTTTAATTGTATTTTAATGGTGATGATTTGTGCATTGTGTGGTGTGGACTGTGAGGCGCTTTGTGTTGCCCTGTGCAGGAAAAGCGCCCTATAAATAAAGATTGATTGATTGATTGATCATATTTCATAAAGAAGTTTGAACTTTGAAATGTGTTTTTTACATGATTATTTTTTTGCTTTTGGAAGAGTTTCTTTGACTTTAAACAATTTGGGTTCTGTTTCTTTTTATAACATTTTCAATTTTACACGAGCTCAAAGACAAATAGTCTATAGACATTTTATATTATGTCTACCCTTTTCTTCATGGGTGCAAATTGAGTAATGCTAAAGTCCTAAATGTTGTTGTTTTGAAGGATTTGTGAGATTATTTGGTTTTATGAAATCATTGTACATTTTCTTTGACCTCTGTGGCATTGCTTTCAATCTATCTTGTTCTAATTTACTTTCTACAAATATATTATTCTAATATAGGTGTGACTATGGTTCTTTTTTGTCAGCTTTTCCATTGGGCCCAGAGACATGCAGAACACATAGTCCCCCTGTATTGCTTCGACCCCAGACATTATGAGGGGACCTACCATTACAACCTCCCAAAGACTGGGCCTTTTAGATTGCGATTTCTACTGGACAGCGTCAAAGACCTCAGAAACACATTGATTAGCAAGGGCAGGTATGTAAAAGAAGTTGCCGCATATTATTCCAGTCAAATCAGCAAGCTATAAGATAAATTAAAATTGTCATATTGTTGTGTTTTTGTTATAATGTTATTACCATAGCAACCTTATTGTGAGACGGGGCAAACCAGAAGATGTTGTGGCAGACCTGATCAAGCAGCTGGGATCTGTCAGCACGGTGGCTTTCCATGAAGAGGTAATAACAATGAAAATACTAATTATAGGATGTTCCATTTGGATATTTTATGTGACAATTTGTTCGTTTCAGATAACGTCAGAGGAGGTGATTGTTGAGAAGAATATAAAGTCTGTCTGTGCGCAAATGAAAGTCAAAGTGCAAAGCTGCTGGGGTTCCACTCTTTACCACAGAGACGATTTACCTTTCAATCACATTTCCAGGTATTGATACATTTTTCTACTTTCTAAAAGAAACAAAGGGATATATAACTTTTACGGCTTTGTGTAAAGGTTGCCAGATGTGTATACGCAGTTCAGAAAAGTGGTTGAAAGCCAAAGTAGTGTGCGACCCGCCTTTCCAACTCCTGAGAAACTTAAGCCAATTCCTCAAGGCCTCGATGAAGGAGATGTCCCCACCGCGGAAGACCTAAAACAGACAGGTGACTAAATACAAGTTTATGGATTTTTTATTATTATTATTTGTATTATTTTACCCTACATAAGTCTCTGGATTCCTGTGATACCTTGAGAAATGCATCTAATAAACATATCTGCTGTGTTAATTCTTACCCCAATAAGCAAACTACTATGAATATATTTGTTCTTATTAGGTGTATAGGCTACAATAAAGCAATATAATATGGTGTTTTTTATTTTATTTTATTTTATTTCTCATTTTTTCATTTATAGACCCAATAGATGATCCTCACTCAGCCTTTCCCTGTCGTGGAGGAGAGAGTGAAGCTTTGGCCAGAATTAAACACTACTTTTGGGAGACTGTGAGTTTGAGCCTCACAAACTATCATTTTGTATGTTATAACGTTGTAATTACTTTTTGTCTTCTTTATAAACAGAATGCTGTTGCAACATACAAAGAAACCCGTAATGGTCTGATAGGCGTGGACTATTCTACCAAATTGGCCCCATGGTAGTATACGAGTTAGCAGTATTGTATCACATAATAAAGTTGTTTAATTTCTGCTTGAAATCTACAGGTTGGCAATGGGATGCATTTCTCCACGATACATTTATCATCAGATCAAAAGTTATGAAGCACAAAGGACAGCCAATCAAAGCACATACTGGTGAGTGTCCCTGCAATAAATCCAATCCACATTCATTATATAGCACATTTTATAAAAAAACGTTTCAAGGTGCTGATTAAATTCACTCATAATCATGGAGTAACACAAATAATTGACAATGAACAATGAACCTGCTCTAATGTCTGCCTTCAGGGTTATATTTGAACTTCTGTGGAGGGACTACTTCAAGTTTGTGGCTCTGAAATATGGAGACCGCATCTTCCACATTGATGGTAATAATTAGTTTGCTAATACTATGTATTTTAACCACAACATTGAGCGCAAAGTTAAATACGTTATTTATTTTCAGGACTTCAAAATAAAACTGCCCCATGGAAAAAAGACATGAAGATGTTTAATGCGTGGAAAGGTTGAACTTACACTTGTGCACTGGACGCTCCATGAAGGAAGTTGTAAAACACATGATTGTAATTGACAGAGGGACGTACAGGGGTGCCTTTTGTCGACGCCAACATGAGAGAGCTGGCCATGACCGGCTTTATGTCCAACAGAGGGCGCCAGAACGTTGCCAGCTTCCTCACCAAAGACCTGGGCCTGGACTGGAGAATGGGCGCGGAGTGGTTTGAGTATTTACTGGTACAAAATGCTCAAACTTTTGCGGTTAGAGCTTTTTTGTTTACTTCCTGTCAAAACGTGCTTGTGTTTTTTCCACAGATTGACCATGATGTCTGCAGCAATTACGGAAATTGGTTGTACAGCGCCGGAGTTGGAAACGACCCAAGAGAAAACAGGAAGTTCAACATGATCAAACAAGGCCTGGACTATGACAATAACGTAGGAGCATTCTTCATCCTCATGATTCTGATATATTTATGTTTGTTACAACATTTTAGGCTTCTTATATTGATATTTCTTCAGACGATTGAGTTTAAGAGATCCTTTATTTGTACCGCAGTGGGGAAATCTTTAGTGTTGCATCATGGGTTACAGAACAGTAGGCATGAGGAGCTCACAGCACAAGATAAATGAACAATAATGCTATACTAAAATACATAAAATCTTTAACTTTAGCATACAAAAAAGCAAGTGTAAAATCTCTAGCTTTAAGCATGATAAGGAAGCAAGAATTAAGTATAAAATCTCTGACTCTAACATGAAAAAGGAGCAAGTCTGTGATGCCCTGCTTGTCCATTTCAGGGTGATTTCGTCCGGCGCTGGGTCCCAGAGCTGCAGACGCTGCAAGGGTCAGAAGTCCACACTCCCTGGACTCTCAGTGCTGCTGCTCTGTCACATGCACAAGTGTCCCTCGGAGAGACGTACCCTGTCCCCATCGTGATCGCGCCCGAGTGGAGCAGACACGTCAACAAAAAGCAGGTATACGCATGTTTCATTGATCACAAGTGGCATCTCTATAGGCTGAATGAATATGACCATGTTTCAAATCTGTCTCTCAGCCCGGGGCGGCCTCAGGGTCCTCACATCGAGGCAGGAAGGGCCCGTCTCATACTCCCAAACAACATCGGGACAGAGGAATTGACTTTTATTTTTCCAAAGACAAAGGGTTTCCATAGGTCGGATACGATTTTAAATGCAAAGATTTTCCAGGACTTTATCACGGACTGTGGTGCTATTTAAGTATTTCTTCATCTACATTGTTCTACGTTCATGGATCTTTGGTTACAAAACAAGAGCATGTTTTCTGTGTATTATTTAATGCACCTCTTTTTGCTTTTAATGTTTGTATTTATGTTGATTATGTCTTATCTTCTCTCTTGTCAAAATGTTCTTTTAATAACATTTTTTTTCACCAAATATGGAAGGCTCAAAAACAATAGGTTAAACTGCAATCAGATATGATTTATTCGTGTGTAACCGCGCACTTCCTGGTTCACAGATATTAAATGCATGTATTTTTTGTTTACATACCCCAGAAGTGTACTCAAACCAGTACTTCTGGTTGGCTGGGGGGCTTTGAAAACTGGACTGATGGTGAGAAAGGCTTGTTACTTGCATCAAGGTTTCACTGTTTATTATAAAATAAACATATCTAACATATAATTGGTTGTTTTATCTAACAACCTATATCTAATTTAAAGGTTGTTTTCTTATATTAGATAATAAGCTTTAAAATTATGTATTACATTGTAGCTTATTCTATCCTCTTACTACAAGTTAATAATACTTGAAAAATGTATTTCATGTTTACCGCTGTAATACCCTCGGGTGCCCCAAGGTGTCTGCGTACCCTCTGTTGGGAACCACTGGTCTAGCCTGCTGGAATCTCTGAGTCTGCTTCAGGCACATTACATAAATTACAATGCATGAGTGAAGGAGACAAACTGCTCAAATTAAATATATATATTGATTTTTTTTTACATTTCGCACTATCCAAACTGCTCCTGTTTCAGCTTCACTAGTGTTTGATATTGTTTGCAAAAAAACAGATTTTTGGAAATTTCTTTTAAATAGCAGTGCTCAGTTAGGCTAGACTCCTACTTCCTTTAAAGGGACTGGATTTAATATGTGTATTTTATGACCTCTACATGTTTTATATGTGTCCCCAGATAATAGGTTTAAAATGTACAAATCATACTTAGCCTTTTGGAGTTTCTCAATAAAAGATATAATGAACATAATTTCCATTATATTTATGTTTACAAATTTTAGGCAGAATGAGTCTCTTCTCTGTATTACTACGTGATACCCAGAGTTTGGACTGTTTCCATCTTAACCCCAGCAGTTGGATTGCATCAGTGTAATCTGTGTTAAGGAGGTACATGTGTCACAGACAGGAAGATTGTGGAAACAAATGTTGGATTGTATTTGCAATGACTTGTGTTAAACACATGGATCTTATGGTTATCTGATGCTTATACAGTACACGTGGTACACACGGGGCAGACGAAAGGCAAGGCAAGTTTATTTGTATAGCACAATTCATACACAAGGCAACTCAAAGTGCTGAACAAAACAAGAAAGCATTAAAATCATAAATAATCACAGAACATTAAAAATAAAGATACAAATATAAAATCCCTCAGTTGTATGCACAGCTAAACAGAACTGTTTTCAACCTGGTTTTAAACATTGTCAGAGAAAAGGCCTGTCTCACATCTTCAGGAAGACTGTTCCAGATTTTAGCAGCATGAATCTGAAAAGCAGCCTCCCCATGTTTAGTTCTGACTCTGGGCACTAACAGGAGTCCAGTCCCTGTGCTCCTCAGAGTCCGGGCTGGTTCATATGGGACTAACATGTCACTAATATATTTTGGTGCGAGGCCATGGAGAGACTTGTACACAAGCAGAGCTGTTTTAAAGTCTATTCTCTGAGCCACAGGAAGCCAGTGCAGAGACCTGAGGACTGGACTAATGTGGTCGTACTTCCTGGTTCTAGTCAGGACTCGAGCTGCTGCATTTTGAATGTACTGCAGCTGTTTTACAGCCTGTTTGGACAGACCTGTGAGCAGGCCATTGCAGTAGTCTAACCTACTGGAGACAAATGCATGGATAAAAACAGTTCCAGTAGAAAACCAGTCTTCTCACTGACAGTAAGGAAGTAAAATAACTTTTCTCAGCCCTCCCACTCTGACGCTCTGACGCAGAACGTTGCAGAAAAACACATCTGCGTAACTTCCCATTACGAGGCTTTTCAGCGGTGATGAAAAAGTTCACTTTTGGTTTCCGAACAGACACGACTTTGACATGGCGTCGGCAAGTTCAGAAGTCGATTTGTGGACGATTCCTTTAGTTGCGCTAAATATTAAAGTTAGAAAAAAGCTGGCACTTTACTTAAATCCTAAAAACACAGTCGCTGCTGATTGGAGAAACGTCGCAGATGAAATGGGGTTCTCGTACCTGGAGATCACAAACTATGAACGCTGTAACAATCCAACAGAAGCGATCTTAAAGAACTGGCCGGCCCTAAAGCCCGAAGCCACGGTCGGAAGGTTGCTGTTTATTCTCACGGAGGTGGAGCGGACAGATGTGGTGGAGGACCTGCGGCCGGCTATAGGTGAGGCCCGCACGGAGCAACAGTCTATGGGAGCAACACATGATGCTATTAGCAGACAGAAGTAGAGTGATTATTGTTATTATATCAATAGATTGAACACATCTCTTTGGTTCAAATCCTGTACAAATGGCCTGTGTTGTTACAATGTGATAACAACATTGCCATACAGATGCATGTTCATTTCATCCATGCTTGCAGATTAGAAATAAATACAAATCAGTAGAGTTTATATGTTGAATTAAAAAAAAACATACAAGTGTCATACATTTCTCCTGTATGAGATCAATAAAGTCTCTCTTATCTTATCTTATCTTAATTTATACATTGGCCTATTGTGGAGTAATGCCACTTAATACATTTCTGTCATATTGAAGCCTATATACTCTTTCATTCACAGGTGAAACTAGATATCACAAAAAAGTCTATTTATTTTGGTAATTCAACTCACAATATGAAACTAATATTTATGACAGAGTCATTACACTCATATTGAGATATCAAGCCTGTATTTGTTATATTGTCTATCATTTTGTCTCACAGCTTGTAAAAACCCCAAAATAAAATATCAAAAAAAAAAAGTGAGCGCTTGGGTCATAATCATCAACACTACAATAAACAAGAGCTTGTCATATGTAATTTTGAATATATCATATTTGTTTCACATTTCAAGTGGAATTGCAGAAATGAACTTTTAAATTATATTCTAATTTTCTGAGTTTCACTTTTAGGCTAAGAATGGAACGAGGAACAATGTATTCATAAAGCGCATTTCATACAAGGCATGAATCCAATGTGCAGAATGTAGCTGTGTCTGTTCTGCTTGCGTGTAGACTGAGGGTGATCTTGTTTTCACCATAATGATTTCCTGTACTAATGCAACACTGTTAACATTCTGTACTGGCTGCCCTAGACGAAGATGTGAGGAAGTACATAGAGTTCTCGCAGAAGAAGGACCCTCCTGTGCAGGTTCCAGAGGTGGACAGCTGTGTGCCACGGACTCCTGAAAGACTTGGAATAACTTTGGGAGATGACCCTGACGGTTTGTAAAATCCAAACCCCCTTTAGTTTAAGAATAACAGTCTCAAGCCACGACAACCATGATTGATTGTCACTTGTTTGAATGCAGGTACTCCAGAACAGTTTGATGCATTTATCTGCTACTGTCAGAGCGATATCAACTTTGTCCATGACATGATTCGAGAGCTGGAGGAGACTGAGTGCAAGCTCAAGCTGTGTGTTTTTGACAGAAATGTGCTCCCTGGCTCCTGCGTCTGGACCATCACCAGTGAACTTATCGAGAAAAGGTTTGGCACAAACACCTTTATTTTTCAATCTCTTTTTATTAATATGTTTGACACTGAAAACTGAAATGAGTTGATTCACCTTTTTATTATTGAAACAATTGTCTACTACTTAAAGTGTCTCTATGCACTCTGAATGACTTACATGTTTGTGACTGGTGAGTAGGACATGGATGCATCATTAATTTAACAAAAGTTTAAAACATTTACTGGTTCCAAAACATGTGCTGAATGTTTGAACCTTTTGATGATGCACAGGGATTTTGCACAACAACCTGTTCATTCTTCCTGAACTGTGAGTTCTGTCTTAATACTGTTTTATTTTTAATGATCAATGCAGATGTAAAAGGATGGTCGTAGTGGTCTCTGATGAATACCTTGAAAGTGATGCCTGTGACTTTCAGACTAAATTTGCACTGAGCCTTTGCCCTGGTAAGTCAAGATATTTGAATGACAACTATTTAAATACATTTGTTCATATAATGCATATTACAGAAAATGTTTATTTATTTATTACAGGTGCTCGGAGCAAACGGTTAATACCAGTGATCTACAAACCAATGTCAAAACCATTTCCCAGTATTTTGCGATTTTTGACAGTGTGTGACTACACTCGTCCTTGTACACAGTCCTGGTTTTGGTTACGTCTGGCAAAAGCCCTTTCACTTCCCTAAAGAGGATTCATTTGTTGCTGATATATCGGGTGCCAAGCACCTGGTTTAGATGATCACATCATCTTTTTCCATATATGGATCCAATACCTTTTGAATAATTTGATAGAAAAATGTATTATAATAAATAACAAAATGTATATATGTGTGTTGTTCAGTTTCATAAGTGATATTTTTGCTCATGCTTTTTCAAGGAAGTAAACTTTCTTTGCAGCTTAGTAAACCACACAGGAAGTGATTTTATGATAATGTTTTACATGTGTTGTGCTACTGGGTCGTCCACTGGAAGGGATCTATGGATATGTTTCATTATGATTCTTGCATCTCACTGTAAAAAGAGTATTTTACTTTTACAATAATGTTTTCAGATAATAAACATATTTTTGTTCATGTTGCTCCCTGACTTGTCCAGCAAGGGTCGTAGTTACCCTTTCTTCATGTAAAAGCATGCCACATGTGTCTACTTTATGTCGTTATCCAATCAGAAAGTAGAAAAAGCTGAACCATCCAATCTGAATGCAGCAAAGCTCTTCACGGAACGCCCTGTTTTAAAGAGATACAGGTTGATGAAGATTTTTCACACATTTTCACTTACCAGGATTCTAGCACATCTCTATATCGTTAGATATATTTGTTGTACTTAATTGTGGGTATTGCTTTTGGATTTTTTTATGAATATAGAGACATAAACATATACAAATGTAAATATGAGAACAGTTATACTTTTTTTGATAATGACAATTACAGCCTGTGAGGGAAATCTCTGGGTTTAGCAGCGCGAGAGGCACCCGGCGCCATTCTGGGTGTGGCGGAATGATGGGCAGAACCAGAACCAACGTTTTCAATTAACTTCCAAATTGGACATTTTTTTCCCTTATTTTTATTTCACATCATCTGCAATTACGACACAAGGTTAAAAGTTGATAAAGTTTTCCACAGTTTTTTTGTTGTGAATATTGTCACAATTGTCTGTAAACAGTAAGCGGTGCAGCGAACCTTCTTCCTCGGACAGCGGCGGTCTGGATCCACGGAGCCCCTGGAGGGACCTTTGAGAAGCCCACAGGCGGCTGTGCGTAACGGGAAGGTCCACATTTGCTCAGGCGGAATGCAGTAGGCGGGGCTGCTAGGCTAGTGTCAAACTTTGGGAATGACAGGAGTGCTGCAGGATTCGCAAAGAAGGGGAAGAGTCGCCCTTGTTGGTACTATTTGGATTACCTTTACCCCTTTCTACACGGCGTCGTTGGATTCGCACACATTTTGCCTATAGCCGGGTGTCAGTGGATTTCCCAGCCATGTCGGAGGACCTGAGCTCCCAGCCCTGGTCCATCAACAAAGATGATTATGAGCTGCACGAGGTGATTGGTATGTGGACCTTAGCATGTTGTTAGCTAGACTAGATCTACTCCTCGACATTTGACGTGCTGTGTTATGCCCTGCTCAAGGCTTAATGAACCATCTGTAATTATGACTGTAGAACTAAAGCGGAGGTCTTCTTTCGTTATAGAGAGTCTATCTCCCCACAGCCCGCTGGCAGTAGTAACAGCCCGCTCGGGCGGTGCTGTAGCAAATAATAATGAATTAATGCGCTCCGTCCGCCGGGAATGTGTGCTGGTATGAAACGAGCGCCGCTTTTGCCTGTGCAGTCTGGCTTCGACTATCTGCTGGAAGAAACTGCATTTGTTCAACAGGGCTTGAGACATAATAAGTTTCTGCGATGAGTCCTTTTACACATACCAACCTACAGACCCTGTAAGGTGTACGTTTAACAATGAGTATCCTAAAGCCTTGATTCTGTCTTTTGTACAGCACACAACTGTTGGATTTGTAGCAACCAGAACTACAGGGTCTTCTTGTATCGTGTCTTCAGAAAATCAATGCCAAAAAAAGAAAACAGAATCATGTGGAACTGTATTGTTCTGTAGTATTAGATACATTTATTTATTTAGTGACTCAGGTCGTGCATCATAGCTGCCCCGTGTCTGTATGACTATGCGAGTTGACTGATGTGCATTGACAGCTCTTACGTGTTCAGGTTTAAATGCCCCTCCTTGTCACCGCGGTAAAGTGGCCCTGCATTTCGTCGGGAGCGGTAAAGAGGTCCGCACTTTGAATGCGGTTGGCTCTTTTATGCTGTTACTTACGGTAAATGTGGAAAGGGAAGCCGTGACGACGAGAAAGCTAAATGCTTTATCTTTTAAAAAATCATTTAAAAAGAACAAAAAGAGGTTTGCGAATACTTTCACTGCCCACTTGTTCAATAAGATGCTCTCTACCACTGTGTAAAATATCATTCACTTTTACTGTAGAAATCCAGAGAAAATGGGGGTCAAAGTGTGCACAAGTGGTCCCAAAAGCACTTTTTAAAATTCATTTTAAAAAAATCTAAAAAAGTTCCCTCACTACTTTCACTGCACACTTGTTCAACAGGATGCCCTCTACCACTGTGTAAAATATCATTCACTTTTACTGTGGAAATCCAGAGAAAATGGGGGTCAAAGTGTGCACAAGTGGTCCCAAAAGCACTTTTTAAAAATCATTTTAAAAAAACTAAAAAAGTTCCCTTACTACTTTCACTGCACATTTGTTCACTGGGATGCCCTTTACCACTGTGTAAAATATCATTCACTTTTACTGTAGAAATCCAGAGAAAATGGGGGTCAAAGTGTGCCATTTTGGTCCCAAAAGCACTTTTTAAAAATCATTTTAAAAAATCTAAAAAAGTTCCCTGACTGATTTCACTGCAAACTTGTTCACTGGGATGCCCTCTACCACTGTGTAAAATATCATTCACTTTTACTGTAGAAATCCAGAGAAAATGGGGGTCAAAGTGTGCCATTTTGGTCCCAAAAGCACTTTTTAAAATTCATTTTAAAAAAAACTAAAAAAGTTCCCTCACTACTTTCACTGCACACTTGTTCACCAGGATGCCCTCTACCACTGTGTAAAATATCATTCACTTTTACTGTAGAAATCCAGAGAAAATGGGGGTCAAAGTGTGCCATTTTGGTCCCAAAAGCACTTTTTAAAATTAATTTTAAAAAAAACTAAAAAAGTTCCCTGACTACTTTCACTGCACATTTGTTCACTGGGATGCCCTTTACCACTGTGTAAAATATCATTCACTTTTACTGTAGAAATCCAGAGAAAATGGGGGTCAAAGTGTGCCATTTTGGTCCCAAAAGCACTTTTTAAAATTCATTTTAAAAAAATCTAAAAAAGTTCCCTCACTACTTTCACTGCACACTTGTTCACTGGGATGCCCTTTACCACTGTGTAAAATGTCATAGAAGAAAATGGGGGTCAAAGTGTGCACAAGTGGTCCCGAAAAGCACTGTTTTAAAAATCATTTTTGTAAAAAAACTAAAAAAGTTCCCCTGACTACTTTCACTGCACATTTGTTCACTGGGATGCCGCTTTACCACTGTGTAAAATATCAATCTCTTTTTACTGTAGAAATCCAGAGAAAAATGGGGGTCAAGTGTGCCATTTTGGGTCCCAAAAGCTCTTTTTAAAAATCATATTAAAAAAATCTAAAAAGTTCCCTGACTGTGTTCACTGCAAACTTGTTCACTGGGATGCCCTCAACCACTGTGTAAAATAGCAATCACTTTTTACGGTAGAAATCCAGAGAAAATGGGGTCAAAGTGTGCCATTTTGGTCCCAAAAGCACTTTTTAAAATTTAAGTTTAAAAAAGTCTAAAAAATTTCCCCTCACTACTTCACTGCACACTTGTTCACTGGGATGCCTTTACCACTGTGTAAAATGTCATTCACTTTTACTGTAGAAATCCATAGAAATGGGGGATCAAAGTGTGCCATTTTGTTTCCGAAAAGCACTTGTTTAAAATCATTTTAAAAAAAAACTAAAAAAGTTCCCTCACTACTTTCCACTGCACACTTGTTTCACTGTGATGCCCTTACCACAGTGTAAAATATCATCACTTTTAATGTAAATATCCAGAAAAAAGGGGTCAAAACTGTGCCATTTTTGTCCCAAAAGCACTTTTTAAAATTCATTTTAAAAAATCTAAAAAGTACCCATACTACTTTTAACTGCACACTTGTTCACCAGGATGCCCCTCCTACCAATGTGTAAAATATCCTCACTTTTACTGTAGAAATCCAGAGAAAATGGGGGTCAAAGTGTGCATTTTGGTCCCAAAAGCACTTTTTGAAAAAATAATTTTAAAAAGATCTAAAAAGTTCCCTGACTGATTTTTACTGCAAACTTGTTCACTGGGATGCCCTCTACCACTGTGTAAAATATCATTCACGTTTTACTGTAGAAATCCAGAGAAAATGGGGGTCAAAGTGTGCACAAGTGTCCCAAAAGCACTTTTTAAAATTCATTTTAAAAAATCTAAAAAAGTTCCCTGACTAATTTCACTGCACACTTGTTCAACCAGATGCCATCTACCACTGGTTAAAATATCATTCACTTTTACTGTAGAAAATCCAGAGAAAATGGGGGGTCAAAGTTGTGCACAAGTGGTCCCAAAGCACTTTTTAAAATTCATTTTAAAAAAATCTAAAAAAGTTCCAAGACTACTTTCAACTGCACACTTGTGTTTTTCACCAGGATGCCCTCTACCCACTGTGTAAAATATCATTCACTTTTACTGTAAAATCCAGAGAAAATGGGGTCAAAGTGTGCCATTTTTGGTCCCAAAGCACTTTTAAAAATCATTTTCAAAAAAACTAAAAAGTATCCCTCACTACATTCACTGCACACTTGTTCAACCAGGATGCCCTCTACCACTGTGTAAAAAATTCATTCACTTTACTGTAGAAATCCAGAGAAAATGGGGGTCAAAATGTGCCCATTTTGGTCCCCAAAAGCACTTTTTAAAATTAATTTTAAAAAAAACTAAAAAAGTTCCCTGACTACTTTTCACTGCACACTTGTTCACTGGATGCCCTTTACCACTGTGAAAAAATAACATTCACTTTTACTGTAGAAATCCAGAGAAAATGGGGTCAAAGTGTGCCATTTTGGTCCCAAAAGCACTTTTTAAAATACATTTAAAAAAAAATCTAAATAGTTCCCTCACTACTTTCACTGCACACTTGTTTCACTGGGATGGCCCTTTAACCACTGTGTCAAATATCATTCACGTTTACTGTAGAAATCCAGAGAAAATGGGGTCAAAGTGTGCACAAGTGGTCCCAAAAGCACTTTTTAAAATTCATTTTAAAAAAAATCTAAAAAAGTTCCCTGAGACTGAGTTCACTGCACATTTGTTCACAGGATGCCCTTCTACCACTGTGTAAAATATCATTCACTATTTACTGTAGGAAATCCAGAGAAAATGGGGGTCAAAGTGTGCCATTTTGGTCCCAAAAGCACTTTTTTAAAATTCATTTTAAAAAAACTAAAAAAGTTCCCTGACTACTTTCACTGCACACTTGTTCACGTGGGATGCCTTTACCACTGTGTAAAATATCAAATTCACTTTTACTGTAGAAATCCAGAGAAAATGGGGGTCAAAGTGTGCCATTTTGGGGTCCCAAAAGCACTTTTGAAAATTAATTTTAAAAAAACTAAAAAGTTTCCCTGACTACTTTCACTGCACATTTTGTTCAGCTGGATGCCCTCTACCACTGTGTAAAATAATCATTCACTTTTAACTGTAGAAAATCCAGAGAAAATGGGGTCAAAGTGTGCCATTTTGGTCCCAAAAGCACTTTTAAAATCATTTTTAAAAACTCTAAAAAAGTTCCCTGACTGATTTCACTGCAAACTTGTTCACTGGGATGCCCTCTACCACTGTGTAAAATATCATTCACTTTTACTGTAGAAATCCAGAGAAAATGGGGGTCAAAGTGTGCCAGTTGGTTTGGTCCCAAAAGCACTTTTTAAAATTCATTTTCAAAAAAAACTAAAAAAGTTCCCTCACTACTTTCATGCACACTTGTTCACTGGGATGCCCTTTTACCACTGTGTAAAATGTCATTCACTTTTAGTTGTAGAAATCCAGAGAAAATGGGGTGTCAAAGAGTGCCATTTTGGTCCCAAAAGCACTTTTTAAAATTCATTTTAAAAAAAACTAAAAAAGTTCCCTCACTACTTTCACTGCACACCTTTGTTCACCAGGATGCCCTCTACCACTGTGTAAAATATCAATTCACTTTTACTGTAGAAATCCAGAGAAAATGGGGGTCAAAGTGTGCCATTTTGGTCCCAAAAGCACTTTTTAAAATTAATTTTAAAAAAAAATCTAAAAAAGTTCCCTGACTACTTTCACTGCACATTTTGTTCACTGGGATGCCCACTACCACTGTGTAAAATATCATTCACTTTTACTGTAGAAATCCAGAGAAAATGGGGTCAAAGTGTGCCATTTTGGTCCCCAAAAGCACTT